GGGTGCAATTGTAAATGGGGTCAACTCCTTAATTTCTCTTTCTTCTGTCTTGTTGTTGGTGTATAGGAATGCCACTGATTTCTGTGCATTGATTTTATATTCTGCCACTTTACTGAATTCCTGTATGAGTTCTAGCAGTTTTGGAGTGGAGTCTTTGGGGTTTTCCACATAAAGTATCATATCATCTGCAAAGAGTGAGAGTTTGACTTCTTTGCCAATTTGGATGCCTTTGATTTCTTTTTGTTGTCTGATTGCTGTGGCTAGGACTTCTAATACTATGTTGAATAGCAGTGGTGATAGTGGACAATCCTGCTGTGTTCCTGACCTTAGGGGGAAGCTCTCAGTTTTTCCCCATTGAGAATGATACTCACTGTGGGTTTTTCATAGATGGCTTTTATGATATTGAGGTATGTACCCTCTATGCCTATACTCTGAAGAGTTTTGATCAAGAAAGGATACTGTACTTTGTCAAATGCTTTTTCTGCATCTATTGAGAGGATCATATGGTTCTTGTTCTTTCTTTTATTAATGTATTGTATCACATTGATTGATTTGCGGATGTTGAACCAACCTTGCAGCCCAGGGATAAATCCCACTTGGTCATGGTGAATAATCCTTTTAATGTACTGTTGGATCCTATTGACTAGTATTTTGGTGAGAATTTTTGCATCCATGTTCATCAAGGATATTGGTCTGTAATTCTCCTTTTTGATGGGGTCTTTGATTTGGGATCAAGGTAATGGTGGCCTCATAAAACAAGTTTGGAAGTTTTCCTTCCATTTCTATTTTTTGGAACAGTTTCAGAAGAATAGGTATTAATTCTTCTTGAAATGTTTGGTAGAATTCCCCTGGGAAGCTACCTGGCCCTGGGCATTTGTTTGTTGGGAGATTTTTGATGACTGCTTCAATTTCCTTAGTGGTTATAGGTCTGTTCAGGTTTTCTATTTCTTCCTGGTTCAGTTTTGGTAGTTTATACATCTCTAGGAATGCATCCATTTCTTTCAAATTATCTAATTTGCTGGCGTATAGTTGCTCATAATATGTTCTTACATTTGTATTTCTTTGGTGTTGGTTGTGATCTCTCCTCTTTCATTCATGATTTTAATCATTTGGGTCATTTCTCTTTTCTTTTTGATAGGTCTGGCCAGGGGTTTATCGATCTTATTAATTCTTTCAAAGAACCAGCTCCTAGTTTCGTTGATCTGTTCTCCTGTTCTTTTGGTTTCTATTTCATTGATTTCTGCTCTGATCTTGATTATTTCTCTTCTCCTGCTGGGTTTAGGCTTTATTTGCTGTTCTTTCTCCAGCTCCTTTAGGTGTAGGGTTCGGTTGTGTATTTGAGACCTTTCTTGTTTCTTGAGAAAGGCTTGTATTGCTATATACTTTCCTCTTAGGAAAGCCTTTGCTGGATCCCAAAGATTTTGAACAGTTGTGTTTTCATTTTCATTGGTTTCCATGAATTTTTAAAATTCTTCTTTAATTTCCTGGTTCACCCATTCATTCTTCAGTAGGATGCTCTTTAGCCTCCATGTGTTTGAGTTCTTTCCAACTTTCCTCTTGTGATTGAGTTCTAATTTCAAAGCATTGTGGTCTGAAAATAGGCAGGGAATGATCCCAGTCTTTTGGTACCAGTTGAGACCTGATTTGTGACCTAGGATGTGATCGATTCTGGAGAATGTTCCATGGGCACTAGAGAAGAATGTGTATTCTGTTGCTTTGGGATGGAATGTTCTGAATGTATCTGTGAAGTCCATTTGGTCCAGTGTGTCATTTAAAGTCTTTATTTCCTTGTTGATCTTTGCTTAGATGATCTGTCCATTTCAGTGAGGGGGTGTTAAAGTCCCCCACTATTATTGTATTGCTGTCCGTGTGTTTCCTTGTTTTTGTTATTAATTGCCTGATATAATTGGCTGCTCCCATGTTAGGGGCATAGATGTTTACAATTGTTAGATCTTCTTGTTGGATAGACCCTTTAAGTAGGATATAGTATCCTTCCTCATCTCTTATTATAGTCTTTGGTTTAAAATCTAATTTGTCTGATATAAGGATTGCCACCCCAGCTTTCTTTTGGTGTCCATTAGCATGGTAAATGGTTTTCCACCCCCTCACTTTCAATCTGGGGGTGTCTTTGGGTCTAAAATGAGTCTCTTGCAGACAGCATATCGATGGGTCTTGTTTTTTTATCCAATCTGATAGCCTGTGTCTTTTGATTGGGGCATTTAGCCCATTTACATTCAGGGTAACTATTGAAAGATAGGAATTTAGTGCCATTGTATTGCCTGTAAGGTGACTGTTACCATATATTGTCTGTGTTCCTTTCTGGTCTATGTTGCTTTTAGGCTCTCTCTTTGCTTAGAGGACCCCTTTCAAGATTTCCTGTAGGGCTGGTTTTGTGTTTGCAAATTCCTTTAGTTTTTGTTTGTCCTGGAAGCTTTTTATCTCTCCTTCAATTTTCAATGACAGCCTAGCTGGATAGAGTATTCTTGGCTGTATATTTTTCTCATTTAGTGCTCTGAAGATATCCTGCCAGTCCTTTCTGGCCTGCCAGGTGTCTGTGGATAGGTCTGTTGCCAATCTCATGTTTCTACCATTGTAGGTTACAGATCTCTTGTCCCGAGATGCTTTCAGGATTTTCTCTTTGTCTCTAAGACTCGTAAGTTTTACTATTAGATGTCTGGGTGTTGACCTATTTGTATTGATTTTGAGGGGGGTTCTCTGTGCCTCCTGGATTTTGATGCCTGTTTCCTTCCCCAAATTAGGGAAGTTCTCTGCTATAATTTGCTCCAATATACCTTATGCCCCTCTCTCTCTTCTTCTTCTGGGATCCCAGTTAATTCTAATATTGTTTCGTCTTACGGTATCGCTTATCTCTTGAATTCTGCCCCCGTGATCCAGTCGTTATCTTTTCCTCAGCTTCTTTATTTTCCATCATTTGGTCTTCTATATCACTAATTCTCTCTTCTGCCTCATTTATCCTAGCAGTTAGAGCCTCCATTTTTGATTGCACCTCATTAATTGCCTTTTTGATTTCGACTTGGTTAGATTTTAGTTCTTTTATTTCTCCAGAAAGGGTTTCTCTAATATCTTCCATGCTTTTTTCAAGCCCAGCTAGTATCTTTAAAATCGTCATTCTGAACTCTAGTTCCGACATCTTACTAATGTCCCTATTGATTAGGTCCCTGGCAGTAGGTACTGCCTATCCAAATAGTTAAAGGAAGTCCTGGTCATTACAATAAGGAAAGAAAATAAAAAGTCATAAAGACCTGAAAGGAAGGAGTAGAAGTTTCTCTATGTTGGATAACATGATGGTTTACATAGAAAATCCTCAGAAAACTACAAAACCACTTCTAGAGCTTAATTAAATTTAGTATGAGCATAGAATACAAAGATGATATACTAAAAAATTTGTACTTTTATATATTAGCAACATTTAAAAATGGTTTTGAAAAATGCCATATAATGCTGCTTGAAAACATACACTAATTAAGAATAAATTTAACAAAAGTTGTGTAAGACTTCCAACATGAACAGTAGAACATTACTGTGAAAATTAAATAAGAACATACATAAATGTAGAGACATACCAAGTCTGTGGATTGGAAGCATTGATACTGTTTTCAACAAAAGTGCATAAGCATTTCATTGGGGGAAAGTCTTTTCAACAGTTGATCCTGGAGAATCTAGATACTCATAAGGAAAAAAAATATGAACATCAACCCTTAACCTCCCAACATCCATCAAAATTAACTCAAAATAGATCAAAGATTTAAATGTAGAAGTTACAATTATCAAATTCCCTGGGCACCTGGGTGGCTCATTCGGTTAAGTGTCTGCCTTTAGCTCAGGTCATGATCCCAGGCTCCTGGGATCGAGCCCCTTGTTGGGATCCCTGCTCAGTTGAGAATCTGTCACTCCTTCTCCCTCTGCCTCTCCCTCAACTCATGCTCTCGCTCGCTCTCTCTCAAAATAAAATAAAATAAAATAATCAAATTCCCAGAAGAAAAAGGAAAAAAAATCTTTGCAGCCTGAGGGTGGGCAAGGATTTCTTAGGTGGAGCCCTAAAAGTACAAGCCAGCCAGGGAGTGTGGCTCCGTGGTTGTTAGGGGAGGAGCTTTTAAAGCAGAGGGAGTAGCACTCTGAGCCAGGAGGATGTATCGAGAAGATGGGACAGAGAAGTGGCAAAGGGCCAGATTACCTAGGCCCTGGAAGGGACTGAATTTTATCCTGAGTAAGAAGGAAACCATTGTGAGCAGGTAAAATGAAATGTTGGCTTATGTTTTAGAAGGATCACTCTGTGTACTAAACCAAAAAAGTAGTCCCATCTGACGTGGAAATACATTTGAGAAACGGGATACCGCATCCACACCCCACACCATGACCCATTAGCTACATTAACCAGTTTAAAGGCTATGATCAAGCCCCCTGCACAATAAAGAAATCTGTTCAACTTTGTTCCACATTTCTTAGACCTTTTGAGCCCAGACTGTGTTCTTTAGCAACTGGCATCTCAGCAGCATCAATAGAAATGGTTTCTCACATTGAGCATTCCCTGTGTGCCATATGCTGTGTCAGTGGTTTGTGTCCATTATTTCATGTCACAACTATCTCATAGGGGAAGTTCTAGTGTAACCCGTTTTTACAGAAACCTGAGACCAGGAGGAAGGTACTGACTGAAAGTCTCACAGCTCCACAAGGGAGGTGAGGTTGGGGCCTGTGCAGTTTTACTCCAGAACCCGTGGCTTTGGGCCTAGGCTGTGTTACCTTCTCTTAGACTGTTCACTAAAGAATTATCTCACAAAATCACCATTTCTTTTGCACGTGAAAACCTTGTTTTTTACTTTTAAAAAATATTTTTAAATTAACAGATGTCTCAGTCCATAAACTGATACCTTTTCTATTTTCAGTGGGCTGTGTTTTCATTTCTTCCAGGGTTAATACACTCTGGTTGCTATAAAATCCTTTCTACCTCATAATAATAGTATATGTCTAATTTTTTCTAGATCGAAGGATTCTCATTAAACAAACTAGGGAACTTCAACCTTAAAGATGTTCAAAAAGACACCGTGGTCTGGGAATACATTGACAATGCCGCCGGGGATGCAGACACACCAAAAGAAGTACCTGTTAAAAGGGGACAGGTCTGTTCTCTCTCATTGTTCATTTTGCCATTTATATTTGATTTCATTGTTAATTGTGGAGTCTGTGAGTTAATCAGTCCTCCTTTCATCTGTCAACTAAACTCTTTCATGGATATTTCATTCCCTAGTTTGTTCAGTCCTTGAAATAGACAAGTAATGAGAGAAGGTAAAATTCAGATCACTGAATCCACAGTGAAGGAGTATTCAATATAATGTATTTCAGTGTCCTCATCAGTACCATTAGGGGGAGGCAGGAAATTTATGCACAAGGGAAGAACTGCCATTGAAATTTCAAACAAAACTGAGCAATGTAATTATACTAGAAATAAGAATAGGAATCTGCCCCAAATTGGTGTATGGGCCCTGACCCCACAACCTTCCCCGTAACTCTCTGGGATGAAATGATAGCAATACCCGCAAAGGACTTCTGAGACCAGGATTCTAGTCCTCGCTCTACTCAAGTCCTGTCGCTCCTCAGGTCCATGCTTAAAATGGGGAAATGGTGGTGAATCATAGATTCTCCAGTTGTGTTTTCTCGAATCCTTGAGCGCTGGAGAGAGAAGGGAAGTGGTGCCATTCAACCCCTGTTGCCACCAGAACACCACCACTTTCTTCTCTTTTCTACTTGGGGTTCCAGTAGTGGAGAAGAGTTCAGGCTGTGGAGCCAGAATCTGTGAATTCATATCCCAGCTCTCCCACGTCCTGGCTGTGTGTCCATGGGAAAATGACTTAATCTTCTTGGGCCCCAGTTTCCTCACCTAAAAATGGAGATGATATTGGTACCCTCTCATAGGGTCATTGGCTTCTAGAATGCTTAACTCAGTGCCAAGCAAGTGGTAAGCTCTCAGTAAATGTTAGTTGCCATTTTTTTGTTTTTGAAAAAGAAAGCGTTCCCTACTTTAAAAGAATAAAAACAATAATGAAAAACAGCTTAAGTACCACTAGTGTAGATATGTCCAAGGTTTTGTAAGTTCCATATTGTGGTATTATCAAGTCATCTCAGTGAGATGCTTAAGAGCCATTAGTGATGCTGAATAAGGCTTATGGATAAAGAGGTGAAATTTAATGAGGCTTTCAATTTCTGGGGGTTTTCTTTGTGTCCTCAACTACAGTGTTCGGGACCTAGATAATTTCCGTTTTCAGGCAGTTCTGCTTTGTAAATCTACCTGATGACTTTATCGTACTTGACAGAATACTTGTGGTCAGGATTTAGTGATTAATAAAATACTATACCACTTGTTTTGAAGCTCAGTATAATAAAGTATGTTGTGCAACAGATTCGTATACCTAGAGAAGGAAAAGCTGTTGCTGTAAGCCCAAGCAAATACTTGATGTTTACATTTTTGTGCTATTTGGAGAGATCAGTCATGCTACCACTTCAGAAATGAAGACCTAGATAGGGTCGAGATTGATTGCATGGCGAGATACCGGGATCGAGACACATTGTGCTCGTTCTGCCGCTGACAAGCAGTGGGACCTTTGACAAGTCATGTCAACTCTTTGGGCTTCAGTTTTCTCTTGTAACTTAGGGAGTTGAGCTGGATTACCCCTCAAGAGCATCTTACAGTTGTGACATTATGTTTCAATGATAAATGGATTTCTTGTACTTGAAAGACTATAAGTGAAAGAATACAGAGAGCAACCAAATCCGCCGGATACTTTCCCTTGTTTCTCATTTAATCCTCATAACTATCCTGTGTTATAGGTGGTACCATCCCTACTCTGCAGATAATGATAGCGACCATTTTTTGAACATGTGTGCCAGGCACTGTGCTAAGCTCTTTACAGACATTCTCTCACTCAGTCCTCCCAACAACCCTCTGAGGTGGGTACTGTAATCCCCATTGTTCAGATGAGGAAACTGAGCCTTAGACAGCATAGAGCTTGGCCAGGATCATACGCAGCTAGTACATGGCAGAGTTGGATTTCAAGCCTAAAGTGTCCCATTGCAAAACCAGTTCTGTTAGCCACTATGCTGTCACTCTGACGGAGAGTGAAGAGGCTAAGTCCAAGAGCAGCTAAGAGCCATGAAGTGGCAGAGTCAGTATTTGGACTCTCTTGTTTATATTCTAGGTCCTGTGCACCTTCCAGTATAGTCCATCACAGTATATTCCAGTTTGTCAAGAGTCAGTGAATGTAAAACCCTGCATCAATTTCTGATGTCAAGAGTTACTTGACGTTGGGGAGCCTGGCTCTATCAGGCGTAACAGCATGAGACTCTTGATCTCAGGGTCATGAGTTCAAGCCCCACGTTGGGCAGAGAGATTACTTAAATAAATAAACCTTAAAAAAAAAAAAAAAGAGTTGACTTTAAAATCATTTGTCCCTGGCAGATTCAGTGAGCGTATGTAGCTTCTCAGAGCAAATGAAAGGAGTGTTTTGCCTTTTGCTCTCCGCCTATAGCTGCGTCCCATTTTTGTGTGTGTAAGTGTAAACGCGCCCTCCAGCGGCAGCGCCAGGGAGAGCTCCGTGCTGAGAGTAGCAATCCGGGCACGTTTCTCTCCACTTGTCATTCAGGCTTCAAAATAAGGAGTGCCACCTGGTTGCCTAAAATTGCCTGTCTGCTCCTATGATGATGGTTAGATTTTAACATGCTCTCATCCCAGGAGTGCAGGGTAGGAATGCCATTTTCTCACCAACGAAATATAACCTAGATTGATTTACCTAGATGGATTGTCAAATTCCTGTCTTTGCTAAGGTTTTTAGGTTTTTTGTAATTTGCTTGAATGATCTCTAATTTTTCAGATTGTGCTGACATCTCGACTAACCTGTGTGTTTCTCTTTGCTGTTAATAGGTATCATTAATGTTTGATTCCAAGCACGTCCCGTCAGTTCCAGTTGGGCAGCTCTGGGTGGAAATGCTTCGATTCTATGCTTTAGAATTTAATTTGGCTGATTTAGTGATCAGTATTCGTGTCAAAGAATCTGTATCTCGGGAATCAAAGGATTGGCCCAAAAAGCGCATTGCCATTGAAGGTATCTCAAAATGTTTATCTGTAATTCCCTTTTTTTAAGGTACCAGTCTAACCGCATGCTTTTTACTTCATTCTCCTTTCAGCCTCCACACGTAATGTAGGCCTGACCCCGAAAGTGAAATAGTTAGAATCTTGCATGTGTTACTGTGGTCATTCCCAGGGACCAAACTGTTTGTTCATCCTGGGTTTTTTTAAGCACTGCAGTAAAACGTCTTAGTTAAAAAAAAAAAAAAAACAGCTAAAACAGTGGCTGGCTGAGTCCCTGCTTTCTTTGTAAATTGCTTAACAACGTAAACGCTTATACAGAGTTTTACCCCACCCCATGATGTGTGAATCCCCCTTTCCTCTTTACTGTTCTCCTTGCTGGATTTTTAGATTCAGTCCTTTCCTGGATTGTTGTTGTCATTTAGTTTTATGAAGGTGAGAAAATACTTTTTCTCATGAAAAATAATTCTTCGTTGGATTCCTCTTCATAGAAAGAGGGGCTGGTTATTATCGGAATATCTACAGTAGCATTTGGAACTGATTCATGAGAACACTTTTTCTACCGAAGGCTCATTTAACTAAAACCATTGTATGAAAGGCTCTCTGATGTGCCCTGTAGACTACATTAAATGGACTAGCTCTTCTCATCTTTGCAAAGTCAGGAGGTTGAAACCCCTCTAGAAATCTTAATTCTCCTCCTTGAAATAACTTAAAGAACCTCCTAAATGGAATTCTCGTATTTTTGCTTGATTTTTTTCAAGCTTTATATTGCATAAGAAGGTTTTTTTTTTTTTTTTTGCATTTTGCATTTTGCATAAATTCTGTGTGCAGTCATGGGGATCTCACATTTTTAAACCCTCCCCTGCAGTTTCTCTGGCACAGCTCTTCTGGCCAATTGCCTAACCTGCTGGAGTTCTAGGGGAGGAGAAAAGATTGAGAGAAGTGGTGTCTCCTCCTGGTGCCTCCCTCTCGCCCCTGAATTCAGTCCAGCCAGTTCAGTGATGGGGCTTCCCAGGGCAGAAGAGTGGAGGTAAGCTCTACACACCACAGGGCCTGGCTGAGTGGGGAGGCAGAGCACTCAGCAGAGCCTGGAGGGAAGTCCTCACTTCCCCAGGGCACAAAAGCACACTAATGACACCTTTTTTACCTCCACAGTCACAGAACAAAATAGGGAAGGGGAATTGGTTCAGAACAGAATGGGTTCTCTTCATAGAGCAGACGTTTAAGAAAACATTTCTCTTTGTTCTTAAACTACACCTTTCTTATTCCCCATCCCCAATTTTTTAAAAAGCATACAAGATTCATGCTCAACTTTAGTATTGTTTGGTTGTCTGTTTTTATCTACAGCAGGCTAATTTTTAAAACGTGAAATAGAAATGTATGAAGTGGTGGATTTTTCTTTCTTTTTTTTGTTACAGATCCTTACTCTGTTAAAAGAAATGTGGCAAGGACTCTAAATAATCAACCCGTGTTTGAATATATACTTCATTGTTTAAGGACAACGTATAAGTATTTTGCTCTTCCACACAAAATTACAAAATCCAGCCTTCCAAAGCCTCTGAGTACTGTCACATGTCTTTCCGAACATTCTAAAGAGGTCGCCAAGCGTGACCCGGCTGCACAAGCAAAAGATGATAAACTCAAAAGGTCAGTTTTGGCTCAGGGGCCAGGTGCTGCCAGTTTGACTGCAGATACCTGCATGGTACAGCCACTGACTCTTAAAGAGACTGCTGAAAGCTTTGGAAGCCCCCCAACGGAGGAAATGGGAAATGCGCACGTCAGTGTCCACCTGGAAAACCCAGACTGTATCAAGGCAGGGGCCAGTTGTGATGAGTATGAGGATATTAAAGGACACCATCAAGAAACAGGAAGTGAAATTGGGAGAGAGGGCAAGCATCCCTTGACTGCCGATGACCAGGGTTTAAGGCGCAGCAGACATCGAGAGCTTGTCATCTGTGGCAGCACACAAAATAATGAGACAGAGAGCACTTTGGATTTAGAAAGCTTCCAGAATCCTGCAGCCAGAGAGTGTGATGGATTCACTACTTCAGAGGACAAGGCTGATGTTGACGAAGAAGGCGTAGAAGGTAATGATGATCTCGAAGATGCTCTAAGCCACTTCACCCCTTCAAGACAGGGCCATACATCAGGAATCATTCATTCCGATGAAGAGGAGGAGGAGGAAGAGGAAGAGGATGACGATGAAGAACCCAGGCTGTCCATTACCCGAAGGGAAGATGAGGACGACTTGGCTAATGAAGATGAGTTAGAAAATACATACATGGGATCAGGGGACGAGGATGCCCTGTCTGAGGAGGAGGATGAATTAGGAGAGTCTGCTAAGTATAAAGACTTGAAAGAAAGTGGAAAACCTGCGGATGGGGCTCTACTAATGGCATTTAATAAGATCTGTCTTAAAGAAGAAAGTGCATGCGAGGAAAGCTCAACTGTGGATCAGTCTGATTTCTTCTATGAATTTAGTAAACTCACATTCACCAAAGGCAAGGTAATCAGTGCCACTTCCAGAACCAAGAGACATTAAACAGTTTTAATGCATGTAATTTTAATTTTTGTGTACTAGAACAGAGCTCTCCCCTGTCTGGGTGGTAGTGAGGAGTTGGTCTTACACTCCAGTACAGCTGCTCCATCTCTTTCCCTCAGACCCATGCAAATTTGCATTGGAGAAAGGGAATGCTCTTGGTAGTGGAAATTATTACCTTTGTCTCATGAGTATCCCAAAAGATGTCCCCCTCTGGAGTGACTGCATATTATTTTTATTCCTTTGGAAAGTGAGAGTAGACTGTGGACTTTTAAAAAAATGATTCAGGACCCCTTTATTTGGCAGAGTTGTATATTATGTCTTGTTTTACTTTGCCACCTTCCTGCAGTCTCCTATGGTTGTGTGCAGCTTATGCAAACGAGAAGGTCATCTCAAGAAGGACTGTCCCGAAGACTTCAAAAGAATTCAGCTGGAACCTTTGCCACCACTGACACCCAAATTTTCAAATATCTTAGATCAAGTTTGCATCCAGTGTTATAGTAAGTTATTAACATTTCTTTTCATTTGTCCAAATATTGCATTGACATTTGCTCAAGAGTCCTCTGAATCACTGACCTGTTAGCTCCATCACTGGGACCGAGTCTGTTCCATTCTCCATGGTGTCAACAGAGCTCTATGTACTGCCTGTTCCAGTTGAGACCCACAGTAAACAATTGTTGAAGGAAAGACAGGGAAGGAGGGAGGATCTTTTAAGTCTAACAGTTGGAGTACTAGCATTCCCAACTAGTGTTCCTTGAACTGTTTTCCTAAGTGCAGTTAATAGTATTTCATGGCAAGAAGTACTCCAAGTAGGGAATGAGTGTACCCGCCTTTCCCTGCTGGAGAGATTTGCAGGGCACGTTAGCATAATAAAGGCCTCTGAGCAGTGTTATGGAAAAGAACGTATTTAACTCTTTATCCCAGCATTTCCAAAACTTGAGCATAAAATACTTTAACACTAATTAATAGCCCCCTAATAGCCCTTTGAGGAATACCAGTTCGGGGAAGCAGTGGTAGACAGAGGGTTAAAGTTAAAGGAAGAACATTGAGGAGAGGCAGGCAGCTGTTGAGATGAACTTGGTGCATCACAGTGCCAGAAGGCCCTTACTTGTAAACCAGTCACTGAGCCGCTTTTAAACCTTTTTGGAGGTTATAAGCTATGAAAGGAAACTAGATTCCCCTTAGAAAATAATATAGATGTGCATGCTCACAAACTTCTGTGTTCACACTCTGGGGCAGTTCCCTGAGGACCACCTTTATAGAACCCAGGGTTTCTGAAACCTCGGAGCAGAACCATTGTTCAGATTTGTTTCTATTTCAGTAGCAGCTCCTGGGAACAGACTCTTTCTTTCTTCCTTTCTTTCTTTCTTTCTTTCTTTTTCATTGTGGGGGCGGGGTATAATACAGTATTAATTTTTTATTTTTTTCCTTTTTTAATTTAAATTCAATTAATTAACATAGAATATATTATTAGTTTCAGAGGTAGAGGTCAGTGATTCATTAGTTGCATATAATACTCAGTGCTCGTTATATCACGTGCACTCCTTAATGCCCATCACCCAGTTACCCCATCCCTCCACTCCCCTCCCCTCCAGCAACCCTCAGTTTGTTTCCTATGATTGAGTCTCTTATGGTTTGGCTCCCTCTCTGATTTTGTCTTGTTTGATTTTTCCCTCCCCTTCTCCTATGATCCTGTTTTGTTTCTTAAATTCCACATGAGTGAGATCATGTGATAATTGTCTTTATCTGATTGACTTATTTCACTTAGCTTAATAGCCTCTAGTTCCATCCACGTCATTGCAAATGGCAAGATTTCATTTTTTTGATGACTGAGTAGTATTCTGGTGTGTGTGTGTGTGTGTGTGTGTGTGTGTGTGTGTGTGTATGTATGACATCTTCTTTATCCATTCATCTGTTGATGGACATCTGGGCTCTTTCCAAAGTTTGGCTATCATGGACATTGCTGCTATAAACATTGGGGTGCAGGTGCCCCTTCAGATCACTACATTTGTGTCTTTGTGCAATTGCTGAGTTGTAGGGTAACTCTATTTTCAACATTTTGAGGACCTTCCATGCTGTTTTCCAGAGTGGCTGCACCAGCTTACATTCCCACCAGCAGCGTAAGAGGGTGGGAACAGACTCTTTTCAAAGAAAGACATCCTCTATTTTATAGTACTAATGCTGTCTACCAAGAAGACACATAAAATTTAGTTTTCTTTTTAACTTGTTAGATTTTGTTTTATAAAAAATGATTTTTTTCCCCAGAGAATGTGAACAATCTTTGTTTCTTAATCTTTTCTTTTTTTATTTTAAACAGAGGATTTTTCTCCAACTATTTTAGAAGATCAAGCTCGTGAACATATTCGTCAAAACCTAGAAAGTTTCATAAGACAGGAGTTTCCAGGTAAATAACTTTTTACCTTTAAGAAAAGAAAGGTAGCATAACCTTCCTTCAGAATGAGTACATGTGTTATAAGCACATTAACTTTGAGAATGAGAAAGAATGGTGATGGTGGGGATGGGGCTTCAGTTACTTTGTGATATACCAAGGATGGTCTTTGGTCTGCCCGATCCTACTTTACCAACAGAGAAGACAGTAGCAGTGTGGGATTTCTGTTAACAGATACCACAAGTGAAATTTCATTTTGGGTTATTTTTAAATCTCTAAAAAGTGAGTATTTAAAAAGCAGTAAAATTACATTATTAAATATATTGATGTGATCCACATTTTCCTTGAAATATCCTTGCATTTGAGAATAAAGTTTGGCACTTGGTAATCTTTCACACCATATGCAGACTGTATTTATTTAAAGTAAATTTTGAGAGAAAAGTTTGTAATAAATGACTGGTTAATAAAAGAACATGATTATGATGAGATTCATATAGGATAGTTAACAACTGGGTATTTTTTATTCATGAGAGGGCCGTTTTAATCAGAAAATTAAATGTACTCAGATAATTAGTTATTACTTTTCATATATCCCTAACAGGAACTAAATTGAGCTTGTTTGGCTCCTCCAAAAATGGATTTGGGTTCAAGCAGAGTGACCTTGACGTCTGTATGACAATTAATGGACTTGAAACTGCAGAGGTACAGTGACCACATAAAACTTGAATTTGCTGTGGCGGTGTGGTTTGACAGTCTCGACTGACAGTACAGCTTGGTAGTTTCCAAACTCATAAGCGCATATGAAGTACGTCATTTGGCCCAGTCTCTCTGTCAAATACTTAAGAATCTTAGAGGTAAACATGAGGAGGTACCAGGGCTTGTATTTTCAACCTATAGTACAAAGCGGATTTGAAAGCAGCCTGTGGGAACACTGCAAAGCCAAACCAGCCCCTCGGTGTTCACTGGCCAGTAGGCGGACTTTGATGCACACACCCACATAAGGCTTTTTGAAAAGTATTTTAGGAGGCAGGCAGTGTGGTTTTCTGAGACTTGTTTAGCAGGCAGGCAAATGTGGTACCATGATAAGAGCGCTAAACGTACAGTTCAGAGACCCAGATCCAAGACAAGCTTGGTTTCATATGTCTGTAAACATGTGGTCTTTGGTTGATAATCTATAAAAGGAAAGAGTACCTTCTGTTCCTCTTGCCTCAGGAGATTGTTGTGCACATCAGCTTGGATCATGTATGTCAGGAGTCAGCAGCCTATGGCCCACGGGCTAAAACCAGCCTACTGCCTATTTTGTCAGTATGGAGCACAGTCCCATCCCTCCGTTCATGAAGTGTTGACGGCCTCTGCCTCACTCTATAACGACAGAGTCGAGTAGTCACAGCAGGGTCATACAGTCGGCAGAGCAGAAAAGATTTGCTAGCCCCTGACAAATATGAAGCCTTTATAAAATATAAAATACTGCATAAAGGTATAAAGTCTGAGAAGTGCAAAGTTCCTTTTATTTTTTAATTTTTTATTTTTTTAAGATTTTATTTATTTGACAGAGAGAGACACAGTGGGAGAGGGAACACAAGCAGGGGGGAGTGGGAGAAGGAGAAGCAGGCTTCCCGCCGAGCAGGGAGCCTGATGCGGGGCTCGATCCCAGGACCCTGGGACCATGACCTGAGCTGAAGGCAAACGCCTGACGACTGAGTCACCCAGGCGCCCTTCTTTTTTTTATTTTTAACAACAGCCCAAATGCTGTAAAGCCAAATGAGTGATGCTGCTGTCACTCAAGATCTTTTTATGTCTTTCCTTACTTTCAAGTCTTTGTCTTTTGAGGGTGTATCTGATTTGGGAAAATAGCCAAAAGTTATCTACCCTGAGCTTGGTGAGTAAAGAGGATAAGCAAGATTGGGTCCAGTATATGCAATTACCTGATTGTGCATCATCAATATTGAATTTTTACATGGCTTAGAAACGAGCTTTATGGGCATTTCTGAAGGAAAATTTCAAATACATTCTGGGATGTGTATAGCCATCAAAAGGGTTTATGTTGTAAAAGCGAAGCCCAGTGTTTTTAAGTATAATTTATTTGAAACATTTGTATTTGCAGTATGACTTTCATTTGTGCATTATGCACAGTCCCATGGAGAGATCGTCTGAGCTTAATCACTTTCCACAACAGTTCCTCAGCTCTTAACTGAAATATAATGAAAGTCCACCCATAATTAATAAAATGGGGCACAGAAGCTCCTTCTTTATTCTGGCAGAGGGCCCTTCTGAATAACGGAGTTACATAGAGGGGAAAAATGGAGGTCCTCACTTGGACAATGGTTCAGACTTTCCTGGGGCATCTGATTTCAGCCTCTGTTGTACCTCCAAAAACAATTAGTAAATAGGGTCTATGGGAATTTTTGTATCCTTAGGCTATTTCCTATGAATACTGACCAAGGCTTGCCTAAAAGGGAAAAATGTATATAGAATGAGTTGAAGTTAATATCATTATTTCGGAAGGTAATGAAAACTATCTGTAGCCAGGTTTGGAACCCGTCTTCCCTTTTTGAGCCAGTATGTGCAATTTTTGTTGCAGGGGTTGGACTGTGTACGAACTATTGAAGAATTGGCAAGAGTCCTCAAAAAACATTCAGGTACCTCTGCAAACTTTGTCTAAAAATATTTTTGTCTTTTTTATTAGTGTTTTGCATACTTAAAATTTATCAATGCCGATGAAACAGTCTAGTGGCCCATCTATAGCACATTTGCAGTATCGGTGTCTTTAAAAAGTTTTGTGTGATAAAGCATGATAAAACATGAAAACACTGAGGTAATCATTGTGTGCATATTGTTGCCTAGCTTAGTTTTATTTCAAAACAAAGCATACCATACAGGTAAGAAATTTTGGAAACCCGTTTTGCTGTATTCACTTGTACCAGTCAAAATGTTGCTGGCATCAGTGTGAAGCACCGTGGAAAGCCCTGGGGTTATGGGCTGTATTTGTAGCTATGCTGCTCGACAGTTGTACGCAACCCTGAACAAGTCATTTAACTTTACTTGATCTCTTTTTCTCTCACCAATAAATTGAGAACACTGAACTGGGTCACTTCTAAATATTTATAGCTGTACAGCGTACAGATGCTGTCCATTTGTGCACAGTGCTGACATGCCATTAACATATTCTTTTGCTGTCAGGGACAGCTATGGATGCTATTAACAGTGGGAATCTTCTTTTAAAATGTGGTTCGGCAAATTTCTGTGTTAGGAGCTAGGAATGAAGGTGGACACAGTATGGTCTGTGACCCCACAAAACTTCCACGGTCTGTCCATAAGATGCTTTCTTTTATCTCAGTCAAGAGTAGACTTAACATTAATGTCATGAGTACACACATATAGCTACACACAAACATACACCTTGAGTGCTACCCCCTCCTTTTTTTTGTACTTTTTTATTTCCAGGAGTTTAAATAAAAAGGATACCATGTTACTTGAATAACAAGAAAAACAATGTTAATTTCAGTTTATTCCCTCTGAAAGTTAACCAAGAACATTAGCATTTTTTTTTTGAAGTGCATTGATAATATTTTTTGGTCACTGAAATATACATTCCCCTCACTTGGGAATTTTACCTCTAAAGATCATGAGCTTTTTAAATCTTTTTGAAGATTATGCAGAGAAACTAAATTGCTAAATTGCCACAATTATTAATTATTTAGTACTGAGCTAGATTTTGACTTTTTGTTTTGAAATCATTTAAAACTTAGAGGAAAGCAGCAAACATTGTATAACAAACTCTGTGTATCCTTCATTCAAATCCACCAGCTATTAACATTTTACTACATTCGATTTATTCTCTTTCTTGCTTGCTCACAATTTTTTCTGTACCATTTGAGATTAAACTGCAGACATGTTCCTTTCCCCTAAATATAGCAGCGTATCTATCTTAAGAATGAACCATGTTAAAAACAGGTCATTTTTAGACTGATAGGACTTATACACTAATGGAACACAGATTGCATGGAACCTAGTATCTTTAAAACAGTCCCCACCTGTCTTATTGGGTGCCTACTATGTGCTCAGCACTATATTGGGCACTTAGGAATGGTGGAAAAATAAAATAAGTCTATACAAGTCTTTTCCTTGGGCAACTTTCAGATTTAAAGAAAGGGGAGGTAATCTGACAGACCATGTAACAATGTAGGGTAGCATTCATTTTTCAGAATGAGTCAGAAGCTATTTTAAGTATTCAATAAGTTCTGAAGAGAGAGAGATTCTGGGAAAGAGTTGCATAGGGGAGATTCATGCAAGAGATGGGTTTATTCTGATCTCAGGTGATGATGAATCGGATTCGAGAAGGATCTTCTCCCAGAAGAGAAGTCATTCCTAAGAGTACATACATGTGAACATGAGGGTTACTGTAGTATATCTACAGGACAGTGGGAGGATCAGTACATTTAGAGAGGAGTTTCACAGGGTTCCTATTACTAGATAAGGTAAAGTCTGCAGATATTTGGAAACCAGTGAAGTTTCTTCCAAAAGAGGAGCAACCCAATAAAAACACAAAACTTAAGCTTTTTCGGCAGCTGGTAGAGCCTCTCAGAGAGGGTATAATATAAGTGAATCTAAGGGCAGAGGGACCTTAACCAGGTGCTAAAGATCCTAAAAGGAAAAGAATAGGAGAGATTCCCAAGGGGAACTTTCCTAGATTTGGTACCTACAAGTAGGAAATAAGGGTTCAGACTGACGTTTGGGTACTTGAGAAATGGGAATGTTTGTAGAGGACACCACGTGGAGGTGTGTAGTTTGCCATGAAGGTACAGTCGAGAGTTAAAAGTCCAGCAAGCAATTAGAAATACGGAGTTGTCAGGATTGAAGAACAAAAGAAAACAACTTTGCATTGAAATCCTTGAAGAGAGAGAGACCAAGAATAAAAGAGAATTCTAAGGGATCATTTGAGAGAAGTTAAGGACTAAATTTCTGTGGGTAGAAATTAAGAAAGGACACTGAAAAAAGAGCCACTGGAATGACAAGAACCAGGACAATGTGCTGTGAATAAACCGTAGAGGACAGGCTGGTAATGGGCAACAGTGTCAAATTCTAGAATGGGAAGGAAATGGAGTGTAGGGCGATCTAATTTAGACACAGTGTAACAGAATAGTTGGTGGGGTTCTGGAATCAGATTCTCTTGTTTTAAATCTTGCCTCCCCACTTGTTGGCTGTATGTTCCCAGAAAGACACTCAACCTCATTATAAGTGCTTGGTTCCTCATCTACAAAGTAGAATAACAATAATAGCATTTAAGGTTAAGAAAGATGTACATTAAAGTACAGGATCTAGCATATGCCAGGTATTCAGCAACTATGAACTTCCTTGCCCCCTCCCCATCAGTAAAAGTTAGACCTCCTCTGTCTCCCACACAAATTTTTTTTCTGAAATTTCTTCTATCATCTACATACTTTTCTCGTGAGCTCTGGATCACACCACTTAGCTCTTTGAGAAGAAACTCCAACTCCATCTCAGAATGAACTCCTCTTTCTCTTTACTGCCTTCCTTCTGCTGCAACCTCTACTACCTGCCCTTCCTTCTGAATCCACTTTCTCTGTTACTGACACTGACATCCTTGGAATCACCAAAATGGGTGAAGCGATAACTAATTCATCCTAGAATAGGTTCAGTAGAAGTTTGGAGTTGGTCACACCTACGTGCAAATTTTAGCTCTGCAACTTACTAGCTCCATATTCCTAAGCAAATTAATATGTCTGGGGCTTTGTCCTCTCATCTGTTGGGTGAGGGTGAACATTCTTAGGAGGTAATGTTTGTGAAGGATTCTGGGTATGCAGGAACTGGTAGTTCTTACTCTTATAGCCCTCCTTCTTCTCCCTTATCCACCCCCGCCTCCCGTCTCCACTTCCTCTACTGCTTACCTCCGCTTCCCTAGCCCATCCAGGTATACACACTCTGAAGCATGTCTTGCTGCTTCTCTGCATCCTCATGCCACCAAGATAGTTGAGGCCCAGATAGATCATTTTTCATAATGGTTACCCTGTCCCTCTGACGGTTGTGTCCAACCTGTCCGTAGCCAGGGGCGTTGTCCAGATAGATGTGGTCAGTGATTCTCCCCAACTTATATAGTTCACTGGTGTCTCTTTGCCTCTAAGGATAATTCTTAGCAGGATGACATATATGTTCTCTATTTAGGTTCTTCCTGGTTTCTGCCCCACCTCCTATCACTCATTATTCCTTTCCCTCATGTCTACTCTATAGCCTTCATAATTCCATGGAAGTTCTCGAGCATGCCCTTCTGCTTTAGGCGTCTGCCCTGTCCCTGTGTACTTTTCCTTGCCTGCTAAATCCCCTCAGCCGCCTCTATCTTTACCTGTCACTCTCCTTTTTCAAAGCCTAGTTCAGGCAATTTCCTCCTCTCCTATCAACGTTGATTCCTCTCTTTTACTGTCTTCACTTCTAGCTCTGTGATAAGTAATTTTTGTTTCAAGGATTCAGATGATTGCCCCAAAGGCTTTTCTCTATATTAGACATAGTCAGGTGGAGAGAATAGGAAGGGTCCACATAGCCTGGACTCTGTAGTAGTTTCTTCTGTTCTGGGGTTTATCAGACTGACAGCCCGACACACGCACACGATCCAGTGAGCTCCTGGAGGGCACTGGCTGCCTTGTTCATCCTTGTTCTTCAGATACCGATGTGTTTAACTAATATAAACTTTGCCAGAAAAGTCTTCTCAGATGTTGAATAACAGAACTGAGTAGTTCTAGTGACTGCAGTGAAACAGGCCAAAGTTATGTTGGAACATTAACAAGAGTAGCTTATGGCCCAGCTGCTATATATAACAATATTATCTTATTCCCAACCTAGGTCTGAGAAACATCTTGCCTATTACAACAGCAAAGGTGCCAATTGTAAAGTTCTTCCATTTGAGAAGTGGTTTGGAAGTGGACATCAGTTTGTATAACACACTGGTAAGATTTTCTCTAGGCTTTTTCTTTAGGGAGATCGAGGGGAATGAATGTCTCTTAATTTACAAAATCTCAAGTAGAATTAAGCCATTTATTTTTATCTTGTTCATTCTTTTAATCATTATTTAGGAGAGCTTACTGTATGCCTGGCAGTGTTCTGAGACTGGGGATATAACAGAGTTGTTAGTATTTATTTAAAATTAGGTCAGAGTGGCAGGTGCTTTTAGTTTGGCTTGAATTTTTTTTTTTTTTAATATTTTATTTATTTGAGAGAGAGAGTTCATTTTGGAGTGTCTGTCTGTCTTTGGTCTTATACTTGGTTTGCTTCAGGGCTTTATGGACCTTCTCTGGACCCTGGGGGCATTCAGTTTAAATAATGCCAGGGTGAGGTGGGGGACTCTTAGCATCTGCTTAGACAGAATTATCTTAATAGCCCTTATTTCTAGGAATGTTCAGACTAAGGACATACTAACATAATGGACGTTGTGAGCTCAGATGTCATTTATAATTCTTATTATCTAGTAAGTTAATGAAGCTCAGTTTTGGAGAAAAAAATATTACTTTCAGTCTAAATGTGTTCAACCTAAAGTGAATTACAGTGTAAACCTTTTCAGAATATTCCAGCCTAAAACTTTTTCTTCTAATTGATCCCCTATAGTGTAATTTTCCTTTTAACAGGCCCTTCATAACACAAGGCTCTTATCTGCTTATTCAGCCATTGATCCCAGAGTGAAATATTTATGCTATACCATGAAAGTATTTACAAAGGTGAGTATGCTTCCTGTTGGGATTCATCAGGAAATTTCACTGCATCTTCAAACCTAGTTGAAAACATAAGTCTGTATTTTTTAAAGAACCATGGCCATGTTAAATGCTTCCTTTAACTACTTTGGGAAGCCTGCCATGGCAAGCTAAAATTTTGTCATCTTAAATTTTACATAGGATAATCTGGTCTTGCTTGTGACTGATGGTTGGGGTTTTTCTTTTGTTTCTGACACCCTTTTTGTTGGTCTTACTTGGTTTTATTGGCATATTTTAGCATTTGAAGGTGTTATTTTTATATTAATGCCCTATAGAAGCACCTTTTAGTGATAGTAGGGTAGCTGCAAATCTAGCAGAAAACACTGGTGATCTTTCCTTTGTTCCTCGTTTTCCTTCCCTCTAGATGTGTGATATTGGTGACGCATCTAGAGGCAGCTTATCATCATATGCATACACACTTATGGTGCTATATTTTCTCCAGCAGAGGAATCCACCAGTCATTCCTGTCCTTCAAGAGGTATTAGTAAAAGAAATTGTGTTTCTCATCTGTAAAGCTGGGTTGCCTTTGAGCCCTCTTCCTTCTCTAATATTCTTTGGTTCTGTAGTTAAATATTTAACTATTTTCCTACAAGTTTTTGTATCAATGCATTAAATTTGTAATCCATACTAATAGTTTAAAAATTAATTTCAGATATACAAAGGTGAAAAGAAACCTGAAATATTTGTTGATGGCTGGAATATTTATTTTTTTGATCAAATAGATGAACTGGTACGTATTTTAAGAGTAAAGATTTTTTTACATCCTTGACTAAAAGTTAGCTGTACTATGCTGTGATGTAGTGGTCAACAACTCTATTATCACTTGTTATATTTATTTATATTATGAGAGTAAAAAACTAGCATATATAGATGTTTCCTCTGAAGTTGAAAACACTTTTATTAAGCCAGGTGAGTTGCCAGGGACTGTATCTAGGATTTCTTTAATGCCTGTCAATTCCAAATGATTATGTAACTTTATTCCAAGTGAACAAATATTTGCCAAGTGCTTTTCAGAGTTTGGAAAGACTTTCGTTGAGTTCAAAGATCTAATAACCCAGGCATCATCAAGGCTCTTAAAATTTATTTCCAGATTCTTCCACAAACATGCATTCTGGGGTTTGACATTTAAAACCCTGAGCTCTCCCTATCTCGAAGTCACAGGGTAGAGATTAATAAACTCATATAAATGGTATTTTAAAATGTGAAAGAAAAGTTATGTTATTATGTTTTTATTTAAATTCCAGTTAATTAAAATAAGTCCAAACTTACTCCCTAAGATACAAATGAAGATAGATATTAACACTTTACTATAGAGCATGATATCTCTTGTTCCCTTCTATTTCTAGCCCATCTATTGGCCAGAATATGGGAAAAATACAGAATCTGTTGGGCAGCTGTGGTTGGGACTTCTTCGATTCTACACAGAGGAATTTGATTTTAAAGAACATGTTATTAGCATCAGGAGAAAAAGTCTGCTTACAACTTTTAAGAAACAGTGGACCTCAAAATACATTGTTATTGAAGGTACAAATAAAATGAAACTTAAAATGGAATAGAATATAGAGTTTGAACTGTGAGGGCATTGTTTTTCATCCCTGCAGAGCTCTTGCAGATCGGCAGGGAGCCACTGGGTGGGATGGGCGGCACAGCCTCCCTGTGACTGTCCACAGCAGCACACGTGTCTCTTTCCAGCATAAAGATGTATTTTTAAGTGACCCACGTCCTCCTGTGGGGCCTCTCACCAATTCAGAAGTCTTTTGACCAGGACACATCTTTGACTTTTGTTGAACACGTACTGGAGAATACGTTTGCAGTAGCGATAAGGCAGCTTCAAAAGAGCAGGACTTTTAACACCTTCCGAATTGAGGGTGTGAAGAAAGGGCACTAAGAATAAATTTTCAAGATCCTTACTTGCTATTTATTCATGAAGGAGTTTACCTATAAGTAGTTATATATAAATTTTGATATTTCTTTTGCCCTCGCTGCAGCCTTTTCTTCCATTGAATGCAAGGATCCTTGGGCCATATATGTTTGTAGTTGATTGTTTATTTGCAATTTGTGGGATTTTAATTTTAGGGACAAAATGGTGTTTAAATGCTTAAAACTGAACTGAGAATTGGCTTAAGAAATATTTTATTGATTTTAATGTTTTTAATTTTTTTAATATTCTAATTAGTTAAATAATGTGTGTTACTCTAGGTTATGTTTCTTTCCATCATTACTTCTGCCTACTGGCAGTATTAACACTGTGAACATTTATAAAAATAAATTCAGATCACTGTGGCTTTAGATAGGGTTTTAACTTTTTAGGATCTCATATGTCAAAAACATAGAACTTTGTCTTAAACCTTTCCATTATCACAGTGGATTCGTATGGTCTCCAGTTGTTCATATTTTGTTTTTAATTTTTTTTTTTTTAATTTTTTTTTTTAAAGATTTTATTTATTTATTCATGAGAGACAGAGAGAGAGAGGCAGAGGGAGAAGCAGGCTCCCAAGGAGCAGGGAGCCCGATGTGGGACTCGATCCCAGGACCCTGGGATCATGACCTGAGCCGAAGGCAGACGCTCAACCATCTGAGCCACCCAGGCGCCCTGTTTTTAATTTTTGAAGTCTCTTTATCTTTTTACATCTCATTTTTACATTACTTTCAGATGAACCATTAGTAATAGGCTAAATCAGAAAGAACACTTTTAACCAGCTATTCTAGAATGGAGGAATTTTAGGGGTGGTGGCGGGAGCAGTGTTTATAACTGCCCAATAGCTTAATATCATAGTGTCTCTGCTGCATTAAGCAAACAACCAAAAATACTTCCACATACACGCACGTGAAAGTCACCAGAAGAAAGCATGATCAAACCTACTGGGAACTAGGAACCTACTGATGGCGGTTATTAGTGTAGGGTTATACTGAGCGAAGGCTCCTCCACTCCAGTAACCTGTTAGTGAGTCTGAATCCCGAACGGTGTGCCCCAGTTATTGTACATTGAAAAGCGTAACAGACAACCAGAAGGATGCCTCTTTTTACTTATGTACTCCTTTTGTGTATACTGTACACAAGCGGTCTTCTACTTTCTTGATCCCCAAAAAGGGTTTTGGGGGTTTTTTACTTTACTCTTCTTCAATGTTCTTAGGCATTTATTGAAATAAATATCTACACATAATATTCAAAGTATGAATTATTATGTATGTATATTAAATCATATATAAAATAGTATTTTAATTTAGAAATAGTACCTTACCTCCATTTATTTTATGAACAAGTTTTATTCAGATCTCAAATAAATCTTTGACATCAGTATTTTTTTTTCCTCATTCCTACCACTTTCTGGGTCATCTAATAAATAATACTGCAGAACACAACATATATATATAGCTAACTAAGACTTTGAGATGCAGACCTTTAACATCATGTGGGAGTCCTTTATGAAGCTTTCACTAAAAACTGAGGTCAAGTAGCCTTTGGGACAGGTGTGTGTGTGTCTTAATTTGTCTTACAAGTGTGTTTTATGATCTCCAGGATGACTAAAGTGACCCTTAAAACACTTGGTAGTTAGAAGGAACATCCAGTACTAAAATGTTCTAAATATATTTTGACCTTTATGCTTCCCAAACTAGCACCATTAGATAATACTCGCCTAATATGTCCTCTCCAAACAATATTTTGTTGTTCAAAATGAAGCAACGCCTCATAATAGGAAGGAGTCTATACAGATTCAAATATAAAGTAACACCCTCTCTTCTGATGGACACTTTGGATAAAACACTTGACTTATATTTAGGAATCTATATTATGTAGCTGTATTACACATTTGAAACTCATTAAAAAGGCAGTCATTTAATATAGTTAACCCTTGAACAACAAGAGGTTGAACTGCACAGGTCCACTTACATGTGAATTTTTTTCAATAAATACAGTACAGTAAATGTATTTTCTCTTACAATTTTCTTAATGTTTTCTTTAGCTTACTTTATTATAAAAATGCAGTATACAATACATATACAAAATATGTATTAATCACCTATGTTATAGGTAAGGCTTCTGGTCAGTGGTAGGCTGTTAGTAGTTAAGTTTTGGGGAACTCAAAAGATATGTGTGGATTTTTGACTGTGGGGGGGTTGGTGCTTCTATCCCCTACGTTGTTCAAGAGGCAACTGTACTTTCATTAATGATAAAGTATGTAACACTTCCTTCTTCTTATATACTCACTTGATGTATGAATAGTGGCATTTCCAATTTCATTATCTTTTTTGTTCTCATTAATTTTCTTTACTTAGATCCCTTTGATTTGAATCATAATCTTGGAGCCGGATTATCAAGGAAAAGTAAGTTGCTTTGTTTTATAAATGTTAATGCGATCCCTTTTCCTTTTAGTCCATCTAATTGAGCACTTACTCTTTTCTTCTTAGTGACAAATTTTATAATGAAAGCATTTATTAATGGTAGAAGAGTATTTGGTATTCCAGTCAAAGGATTTCCAAAGGACTGCCCCTCAAAAATGGTAAGTGTCTATTAGAAATACCAAAAAAACCAAAAAAAGGTGCTTTATTAATTTGTACATAACACACCGGTAATACATACCCTGAAAGTCTGGTGAGTCTAGCCAAGATAAACAATTGCAAGACAAAGTAATTCCTAACAACCTTTTTTTCAGCATCCCAGTTCTGAGGCCATTTTTATCAGGAGAAAAGGGAGAAACAGCCGGAAGTGGAATTTGGGTGGGAAGATTAGTCACTGGTGCTGCTGCTTTGCCTTGGTAACGCATGTAGATAGCATCGCTGTCCCACCAGCATTCAGCTCCGGGCCAGCCTCTGCCAAGTCCAGCTTGCATGTAGCTCAGGGTCCTCCACCCTCCTCATATGAAGTCTAGATTTTTCAGTCGACTTGCAGGGTAATACATTTCTTAATGGGACTGGGAGAGAGACCACGCTCACTGTGCTAGCAAGCTCACTGGTGTCATATAACCCGACACTCAAAATTCGTATGGAACTGGACTCATTCAAAACAAAACAAAAGTGCGCTGTAAAAATTCCCTTCAGTGAGAGCAAAGGGAGTTAGGAACTAGAGGATTTTCTGTTAAAGTTATTTTTTCCTACATTAGTTTTCTTAATCAAGACTTTTTAAATGAACCTTAAGTGTATGGGTATGCATTCAGCATTGGTTCACATCTGTGCATCTAGTTTTTGCTGGATATGCTATGGCTGTCTTCTACACCAAGGGTTCTGAAATTTGTTCCTACAGATCACCTTGGGGATTTTGTTAAAATGCAGATCTGATTGAGGAGCTCAGGATGGGGACCAAGACTTGCATTTCTTACAGGCTCCCAGGTGGTGCTGATACTTCTGGTCCTCACCTTGATTTCACTGGCAAGGAGGCTTCAGTCCAGACATTGTCTTTCCTTTCTTCTGATATTTTTCTCCAGAAGCCACAACAAACAGAATAACACATAGCTTCTTCCTTTTTCTCTGTATATGTAATGCAGATCATATTCCTCAGTTTATTGGGTTTTAGCCTTTTCATTTTATGAGAAAGCGAAGCCTTTGAACCTGACCTCAGCCTCCCCCAGGTCCTGGGAAAGCCGACTCATGGGTATGTGTGATGCTCTTGGGTAGAAGTGTCTTGGAAAAACAGGCTCCCTTTGTGGTTAGGTTAAACCATGGTCTGCATGATGAAAAAGAATAAACCAACATGAATTTCGATAAAACTATCCTGAAGTAAACCTCTTAATGGTCATAGATTTTGGAATTAAATAGTATAATAATCATTAAAAAGAAGGTCTCTGATCGATATCTGGTTAGTTTTTGTGTTTTGATCTCACATTAATAATTCATACTTTTCTATATTTATGTTCTGCTAGGAGTACTTTTTTGATCCAGAAGTGCTAACTGAAGGAGAGCTGGCCCCAAATGATAGATGTTGCCGAATTTGTGGGAAAATTGGACACTTCATGAAGGACTGTCCTATGAGGAGAAAGTAAGTCAGTGTTCAAAAGGGGTGGTTTCATTTTTACTCTCTTATTGTACCAGTTTTTAAATGAGGTTCTATTGTAACAGAGAATAAACTTGTATTAAATCCAGCAGTTCTCAGATAAATGATTTTTCACAATGAAAATGAAGTGATTTAAAACATGCATTTAAGCGCAGATGACCAGATGTCCCTCAGGTGTACAGATAACAGTCTTCCAGGCCTGCTCCCCTTTCCTCATTTTGGTCACTGCCCCAGTTGCTACTCAGCCATTTGGTCACCAGCCTCTCCAACAGGGATGGAAGAAGAAACGAGCAAAGTAAAATGGGCTCTTCAGGACATCAGTTATACTTCCAGTGTACAGTAATGGGGCTGTACCAGACTCACGTACAGTTTATTGCTAGATAGAACCCTTCACTTGTGCGCAGTTCAACCCTTAATGATTGCTGTGGTGACCCACTCACTTTGGTCAGCATGCTTGCTTCTCGTGATGTTTGCGGGAGGTGGGACTGGGGGTGGAGGGCAGTGCTGGTTGCTTGATGGTGTGGTGGTCTTAACTGAACAATAATACTCTCATTTAAAAACATGCTCTTAAAACAAGGCACCATCTGGAATTTGAAGCTCTTATTTAGTACTTTGGTTTTGTATTCAAATAATAGTCACTGATCATGTAGAGCAAGAAAGAAACATTTTCAACATTTTAAGAATATAAATCTCCTTACAATCCTTGTTCCCTTGTGAACTGAAGGTTCCACGTCTCAAATTTCTAGTGCCTAGTAAAGAATGGCCCACAAGAGTTGCAAGAAATCACCCCAAGGATCATTGGAGTTTCATTACATCCATATCACAGTAGGTACTGGACCAAGGAGTTCCACTAACTGCAAACACTGCTTTTATGGCACTAGAGTAGTTGTGAAAATCAAAAAGAAAAACTATACCATCACCCTGAGGTTGCTTCTTGAAAGAGGAGACGGACTTCAATTTGTTAAATTCTTTGATACCTTCTATCTCTGGTTATCTCCCAAACCTGGAGCGCCCTTAATATCTTGTCAGGTTTCTGTTTAGATTTTTCCTACCGGTGTTATATCATCTTCTAGAGTGAGGCGACGGCGTGATCAGGAAGATACCCTGAACCAAAGATACCCTGAGAACAAAGAGAAGAGAAGCAAAGAGGACAAAGAAATTCAGAACAAGTACACAGAGAGGGAGGTGTCGACAAAAGAAGATAAGCCCATGCAGTGCACACCTCAGAAAGCCAAGCCAGTGAGGACAGCTGTCGACCTGGGCAGAGAGAAAATTCTCAGGCCACCGGTGGAAAAATGGAAGAGACAGGATGACAAAGACTTAAGAGAAAAACGTTGTTTTATTTGTGGAAGAGAAGGGCACATTAAAAAGGAATGCCCCCAATTTAAAGGCTCTCCAGGTATGGATACCGGTCATACCTCGATGTTTGCACTCACATCTCAAGGGAAATCTCTTTTTTAGAGTTTAGAGTTCTTTACTCTTTTAGTTATATTTATTTCTTTAACAGATCGACTTACTGAAAAAGATTTTAAGAAAGTGAACCCACCCCCTTTAATTCAGATCCTCTTATATGTCTTTAAACGTATTCCCAATTTCATTGAGAGGTTTATAGAAGTCACTTGGTTGACTTTTCTAAGATTATCAATGAATGGAAAACCCAGTCATCCACAGTGCCTATAAAATGTAGCCTATGTGACCAGAAAATAAGCTGCCACTTGAGCTTCACTTCTCAGTATGTGCACTTTTGAAACTGAAGCACTGACTGGCCAAGGCGGGGGGAGGGGGGGAGTAGCTAAATTATCTCAGGACACCAAGCTGTGCATAGTGAGCCACTTGTACTTTTGTTTGAATATGTACATGCACATGCCTAGAAAAGGGACCCGAAGGAACTCTGTGACACAGGGTGGTTCTAGCTGCAGAAGAGGATTATGGAGTACATAATAGTACAGTAATAGTTTCCTGCAGCAACTGTGATTATTCTTACGATGAGGAAAAATACATTATCAGTCCATAGTTGAATATCATCCATACGTCCCATTCCTTTGAGTTGTTGGATCTGCATTGACCCTTTCTATTAAATGGGTAAAGTGTCCACTGTGAGCACCTTTTTAACAGATGGTTAAGCGTGAAGGTACCTTCTCTGTGTATGAGAAGTTAGGATTTACAAAGCAGTTTATACACTCTCACTTTGTTTCTCAGAACAAACCTGTGAGAGTGGATGGAATTTGATTGGCATAGGAAAGAAACCCGGCGAAGTCATTTTTTAGATTCCTGTCCTCAATTGTATATGTGTATGGATGGTGTAACAGAGTCAGCACTGACGACAATTCCCTTAAAACTCTCCACTGTTCATCGTTCCTGGAACACTAGTACCTCTCTTCCATTTTATTATATCATAGCAGCAATATAGTATCTCTTTTTTTAAAGACAAAATTTTTAGAGCACTTATTCTTATTTTTTTTTAAAAAAGGAGCTTTATATGGAATGAAGTATATTTTTAAATTATTTAATTATTGGTTTTAAAATAGGACTTCAGTGTTTATGGAAGATACAGCTTGCCCTACTTCTAAGCAACTCCGACAAATGTAAATCAAGCTTTTTTTACCCTGACATGGGACATAGACCAGATCTTTTATGATTATAAGAGGAATATGTATTTAAGAGAAATTAAAATAATAGCCAGAGCTAACATTCATGGGGTGCTTACTATGAGTCAGGCACTATTTTAAGTACTTTACGCAGGCAGTCTCATCTAATTTTCTCCCCAGCCCCATGAGATGGTGGTATTGGTAATCCCAGTTGACAGATGAGGAAACTGGAAGTAGTATAGATCAGATATAATGAAGTTCTACCAAAGTTATTTTTGTAGACCATTATGGAGAACTGGCGGTCTGTGTTTACTCGTAGCACGAAGCACATTATCGCGTCCCTCTTGGGTACAGCACAGCGGTGAAGGGAGGCCCCAGCATTCCCCCAGCTTTGATGGATTTCTTCCTCCTCGCTGGTAGCGAGGTTTAAGTTGTCTACTAGTGAAGCTGTCAAAACAGAGCAGTGCTTCTGGAAGGCTGCAGGGGCAGCAGCAAATCAAGGAGAGCCAGGGGTATCCTGTGGCGGGAGGCTGGGTATTATCAAACCTAAAGAAAAGCAATAGAATCTTGGATTCCTCAGAATGCAGTATTTACACATTAAATCAAGTAGTCACTATATCCTAAAAGTAAAATAGGAAAGGAGGAGTGGGGCTAGAATATGGGGCATTTCCTCCAGTAGCAAGTCAAAATACTCAGTTGCTTCTTCCTATGGAAAAATTATGCTGCCCCCTCTCATTTCTTCAAATATGTTATTATTTTGTCCACACAATATACTGAGTGGAGCTTCTGTCCTATCCACGGAAAATTGTTCTGTGGAAGTTTGAAAACAGGGCTACTGCTTTCATTTTAAAGTGAGAACAAAATGCTAATTTTTTTCTCAGGTGTGTCTAAATCAGATTGTGTATTTGGATCCCCTTCTTCACCTAGCCCCTTGAGACCAACTGGCACATTTGCTCAGGTAAACGTAGCTCACACCTGAGCAGGAAGCTCTGGGGTCATCTGTCTGTGCAGCGAACACTTACTGAGTGCCAGCAGCTCTGCGCCAGGCCCTCCGCGAGGTGCTGGGCAGCCCCCGGCCCTGCCCTCCTTCCTCTGGCTAACCCGCCTGGCTCCTCTCTCTGCCCTCAGTGCAGTGTGTGCTGAGGCTTGCTATGTTCCGGGTGGCAGGGCGTGCTTTAAGGATTCCTGAGTCTCTGTCTTGCTTTTCAATTAACTTGCAAAGTTCTGCCTTCCACGTGCCTAATTTCGGCCCTCCTTGGATATGGTTACCGTTTTAAGGCTGTTTTCAAATGCTCTTCCTTTCGATTTTGTAAACCAGTCTATTTCGTTTTTTAGGCAGTGCTTTTACATGAAGACAAAAAGAAACAAAAAACAACTATATTTTTGAGTCCCCAGTCAGGTATGTGGGTTTTAAAAAAAAAATGTGTGTTATTTTATTTACTGCATAGTTTACCACATGCCTTTTGAGATGCTTCCTTTGAGTAAGTGGTTTTAACAGGGACTGGACATCACAATCACTCGGGGAACTTTTAAAAATACAGTTGCCCTGCCCCCACCTTTACTTCCTAAATCCAGTTCTTCAGTGGTTAGGCTTGGGCCTGCGTATCTTTTAAGTGTTCTAAGGTGATTCCTATACCATCCCTGAGCAGGAACCACGGTCTTTAATTATTTGTTCCTCTTTCACACTTTTTCTTTCTGCTTTGAAATTGCCACTGTCTTGTCAGCAGTGTGTTCTCCTCATGAGACTATTTGCCATGTGCCAAAGTAAGGAAAGAAAGAAATTGTTGGCCTGAACTCCACTCTCTCTGTCTCTCAGCTACGCCGTTTATTCATTCCTTCAACAAGTACTTATTAAGCCACCACCACCCCTGGCCAGCCCCAAGTGCAGGGTATGAGCCTAAACACTGGCGATACAGCAGTGAACCAGCAAAGCCCCTGCTCTCATTCACTCTACATTCTTGTCAGAAGAGGTGCGGACTTCTGATGGCAACAAGTGCTGAGGAATACAAAGCAGGAAAAGGGAATGCTGGGTAGGGAGGTGGCCGTTCTGTTAAGCAACATTTATGCAAAGAATCAAATCAAGGAAGGGGCAAGTCAGGGGAAGTTGGAGGTAGACCGTTACCACAGAACTAAAAACCACTGTTGTCCCCTGGCGTCACTGCAGGGCGGGAGCAGGGAGGGGCGTGGTAGGAGGCCAGGTCAGGGTAGGTGGCTGTGGATTATGAGGCACCTTGCGCACTGGCCGGATTGGATTTCTTTCTGCCTGTGAGATGGACGGCTGTTGGAGGGTTTGGAGCAAAGGAAGTATAATCTGAATTCTGTTGCAGAAGGTTCCTTGTGGCTGCTGTGAGGCAGTGAGGGTGGCGACAGACCCATAAGGAGGCTCCTGAGAGAGCTCAGGGGAGAAATGGTGCCGGCTTACACTCGGGTGGGAGCAGAGGGGCTCGTGAGGACTGGTCGTGTTCTGGATATTTGGAAGGTGGCACCAATGTGGGTTGTCGCTGGGTTAGATGATGACATAGGACAAAAAATGAACCCAAGATGAGCAACTGGAAGAATGGAAGTGGGATTTCTTGTATTGAGAAAGACTCAGGAAGAGCAGATTTTGGGAAGAAAGAGAGTCCAGTTGTAGCCATGTCCGTTTAGGAGACTGCTAGATGTCCGGGTAGAGATGCCGGGTAGCCAGCGGGATGTACGAGCTAGGTGTTTAGAGCAGAGGTCCAGGCTGAAGACCAAGACCTGAGTATTTTCAGTGTAAAGATAGTGTTCGAAGGCCTGGGTAGGAATGGGGTCACCTAGAAAGTAATGCAGAAAGAAAAAAGAACATTTAAAGACTCAAAATAAATAAGACAGAAGATGGTCAGTGAGGGAACAGGGTGGCAAGAGAGCTGGCTCCTGGAGTCAAGAGCTGGCTGTAAGGACAAGGGTCCTCAGAGAGGGCTTGACCATTCATGGGCATCGCCGCTGCGAAGTCTGGTGCGGTGTAGACTGCACTGTAAGCATTGCATTTGGCAGTGCTCAAGTCATGAGGGACTCTGAAAAGAGCCACCCCTCTGGAGTGGAGGGACAGAAAGCTGACTGCAGGGGTTTCTGGCAAGAAGTGCTGGAAGGGGAACTGTGGGCAACCGAACCTCACACCATCCCCACCTGGCCCACAGGCCTGTGCACAGATGCTCAGAGGGAGGCCAAACCGGGAGGCTCTGCCTTTCTCCGGTGTTTTGAGAATGCTTTTGAGTCGGGAAAGGGGAGGGAAAAGGAAAAACAAAGTAACTGAGGAACTTTTTCAGCTTTTTTTAGTAAGAAGGGATGAAACTCTAAACTCGATAACAAATATTCTGAGTTCCAGCCTGCAGACACCCTTAGTAACTTTGCTTAGTCTCTCTCTCTCTCTCTCTCAGACACCCTTAGTAACTTTGCTTAGTCTCTCTCTCTGTGTGTCTCTCTTATTCAATAAGGTAGGCTTAAGAAGGGAAATTATATAAGCAAATAGAGCATGTGTAGTCTTTTTAACTTGATTGTACAGTTTATGAGAAAGGTTTCTGAAATTTTTTTAAAAACTTCATTGATAAAACTTGACATTTTTGTATGTAGTGTAAAACAACCCACATATTTTATGATCAGCTTTTACATATTGTATGTTATTGCTGATGTGCAAACACTGTTTGTTTTTAGCTTGGAGAGATGCTGTGTTGGTTAGAATGTGAAGAGACGAAGCTGTCTCTGCTGTCAGTTATTGAGAAATAGCACTCCCAACCCCTGGAGCCTTGTAGGTCCCAAAGTAGAGAGAGCGCTTCCCTGCTTTTACCAGCTT